AATTCGTCGTTCATCTCTCTGCAGTAATCCCAACCAAATGGGAAATGTAAATTTTATTGAGGAACATGTCAACTTTAAAGTATCAGTAATGGTTTTAATGTGAGTTTTCTCACCTTCAGATCTTCTCACGCATTAGTGATATTTGCCACAATGATACAGTTATTTGCATTGAAAACTGATACTGATACTCTTCAGAGTATCCGGAATATCAAAATGCAGCAGCAGTGTAGCGCATAGTACTTGAGAGTAATTTTGCTCGAGATAATGCATCTTAAAGATTGAACCAATTAAATTGTTCACTTGAGAACCCAACTCTATGTGATAGCTGTCAAACTGAGCATCCTTCTCTCATATCCTTATGTTCGCCTGAAGACGAATGAATATGTTTGTAAACAGGAAATGATCTATTGTGCAAGTTTAGCATCTATCTTATACAACATCTCAATTAGGACTCATAATCAGTGGTGTAGTTCAATGCTGAATGCTGTGTCCTTGCTTCTTTACAATATAGAATGAAGCAGATATATGGACGATATGTGATTACTGCACAGAGGGCATATTTACATAAATGTGTGCGTTTGAAATATGATCGGACTCCGTGCGAACCGCGTATTGTGTTTGATAAACGAACTGAAATGGGGGGATAAATGTTGCAGGGTAAGGATACCTACGAACTTCGATTCATGAACTAATGCATGCGACATCTAATGACTATTTAGAATATTTCTTTTAGTATCATATGTATCATATTGCCTGGGACATTGTCTTCAGCACTACCGTTTGACTAAAATTGGATTCATTAAGACGTTTCGATGAGATTTTTCCAGTCCTTCCAACATTCCATTCGATCCTCAAAGAAAGAACAACAGCTGAAATTACTGAATAGTTAATAGCTTGATGAAAATTTCAAACGACATGATGCAATCAGTCCATACAGATAAATAATATACTAATCTGTAATGACGTATGCATAAAAATATGATAATACAAATGCGAAATACGATCAAAAATTGAGCAGCTGTACGCGACATTCGTTTCATAATGGGTTAATCGCTTGATTTATGGGTTGTTTGTGTTTATTTGTGTTGCTAGACGATCGCTAGTAGAAAGACGGTGAATGCGTGTTTTTGGGGACTGTGACTATCGTAAATTAAGCATGTGCACATTATTTTGCAATATCCGATGTTATCATTGGTCAAATCGGTTGTTCACACATTCCATTCTGTTCACATAAAAGGTTAACATGCGTTATGTTGAATAAATCCAAATTGTTCTTTCTGCTCAATTACTGTTGCGCTTCTCAATAGAACATTGCACTGAATCGTCCTGACCAGTCTGAAATCATGCGTACTTTATATACGGGTTGTTTGAAACAAAATGTGAAACGTGACAAAATTGATTATTCTTTGTTCTGCTTCCTTTATGAAGGATTAGCAGCGAGCGATATCGACCTGAATTGATCCCAAGAGAACTGGTGAAGCTTCGCTTGTTATTTGGGATAGATTCATATTGAATGTCATGCTTCACTTTGAGTTTTGATGAACACCGCTATGTGATGCAGCTGCACGCATTTTATTTTTGTGCCTACTCATACATAAGCTTCATTTACTTTATTTCTAGCGTTCTTCAGATGCTCTCCGAATGCTCCATTTAAAACCATTCTCTATTTGTTTGTTTCATTCCGTACCGTCGCTTATGCTTTCAACCTGAGAACATTACTGAATGACTATTATTCAGCTTCATTAGTCACCTTATATCACCTTCAGCAAGCCCATTACCTTGTTCAATCGCATTGGAAATAAGAATAAGATTCTCCTGCAGCATTTTGAATTATGATTAGCATCAGTGTTGGAAAAAAAGAGAATTCTATCAGCGGAAAGCATGCGATTCTCGCATAAAATAGTCGTAAGAATCTAAAAGGCACCACAATAATTTGAAGACAACTCAACAATTAAGTAAATGATCTGATGGAATCGTTCAAAAGCAACAATTCGACCTGTAATTCGGTGACTAAAATGAATTTCAGTGTAAAAGTGGCCTAACAGAAGGGAATTTGATTATCAGCGCTCAACGATTTGGTGATGACGTTTATTGGCATCCACAATGTTTCATTTGTACGGACTGTGAGAATTTACTGGTCGATTTGATCTACTTCAAACATGGAGCTGATGTATTCTGCGGTCGACATCATGCCGAACACATTAAACCTCGATGTGCTTTCATTCTGTGCATTCACTACATGCAAATGTTTATGTTTGAGTTGGCTTTATGTGATGCGATTACAAGAATTGTTCTGATTGATATAGTGATGAGTTGAAATGAATGCGGATTATGATGAGATTTATGAATAAGTCTATTTATGAGTGCGCAAACATAACAAAATTCGGAATGTTTTCAATTCACTATCGCTCGATGATCTGCTCAATAAAAGATTACTTATGAAAGGATGAGAGATTAAGTAGTGGTAAATAATATGTGCAGATGTGTTTGGGTCATTCCGTTCGGCTCAATGCAACCTCCACTCTTATCTTTGTATTTATCCAGCAAAACATAAACATTGACCATTAATTCTCTTGTTGAACCCAAAGCTATCATTCACCCATCTATGGAGGCGATATCTTCTTTTACGATGAACACAAATAATGCGATCGTTACTATGGAATGATCACACAACTTCATAAAAGATCTTTAACGATTGTTTTATTGCTAACGTATTGCCGATGATGTGGATTGATGACATTGGTTTTGCGTTGCATTGTAATGAATACCTCATGAAGATTACCATAAAAATCATTTTTGTTTACTAATTACTGCTAAAATGAGACAAATGATGCATACAAATTACCCAATTATCAGCCAATAAAATAACATTGTCATCTCATCGAATCCAAGCTCAATGTATTCTTCCTCTTTCTGCTGAGTTCAGCGTTCACATTGACCTTTTACACCCAAACGTTAACATCACAAATGGGCACCACAGCACTACAGAAATTTCTCAGGAATTTCATGATCTATTCTACTAATAGGCAAAATTACTGTCATAGCTGCCCCAGTTAAGCAGTTCAGGCCACAATTCCAAATCGAGTCAGTGAATCTGAAGGTTCGCTCCAGAATGTTGCCTATTATCAAAGAGAACTTCTGTGTATCAGAGCGATTCAGTGAACAATAACAACATAAGAAAGTGAAGCATGCAAAACTTATTGAATATCGCCGAATAGAAACGCTTCTTAAGCTGAACATAATGATAGGTACTTTATGTTCTAAGAGAGCATTAATTTCAGTTGATATTCAGCGAGGAGTGCACCGAAGCCGAGGGACGTACATGGCATCTGTCACATTTTTCATGCACTCAGTGTGGAATGCAACTCGGAGGACAAAGGTAACGTTCGTAAATTATGGTGATTGATTGTCACAATTTTATCTGCTTACTTAATCACTGCGCGTTTTCAACATTGTTCGTGTTTTTGTTGAGAAATGAATGATAGATTCCACTTGAGATGAACGTTCATTTCGATAATGAACATATTTTGTAGCGTAATAATGTGCGAGGAACAATTGATCATTTGCTGAATTGTGGCTCCATTTAGTGAATCTGATTGCAAGTTTGATTAACTATAAGTGAAAATTGTCATCAACACAAAGCATTTCACTTTGCTCACGTCAACAGTCCGTTGAGTGATTTGAAATGTCATTAATCACATCAACAGTCCACATTGAATGATTGTTTCAGGTATATTGCCAAAGACAATCGTATTCTTTGTATAGCGTGCTTGCAGAGGGAGAACTTCTCGTTGACTTGTAATACTTGCAAAAAAGTGATCAACGTAGAGAAACCGCACATAACACAGGTTTGACAGTGTTTCATTTTGTGCCGTTATTTGAGATATTACTGAGGAAAAGCAGTTGATTGCTAGTGAATGATTCGATGCTTTATGGTAAACATTTGATGTCTTTGAACATTTCACCAGAATACGCAAAAACTACTCTTGTTAGAATTTGATATTTGATGCAATTGCTACAATTCGAACACAGCAAATTCAATTTTCGATAATTTGACATAAGGATGCAAGAACTTTAGTGGTTTTCGACGGAAGTCAAGAAAATGCGAATACAAATGAGACAATTAATTAGGTGAATGACTTCTCAAAGTGGTGTATTATTGAAGGGTGATACTCATTGGCATGCAAACGAACGATGTTTTTGTTGTTGTGAATGTGGAATGAATTTACTCGGTAAGGAATACTCGCTCAACGATGGTCGTTTGTTCTGTGGTTTAGCCGAATGTCAACCGAAACGATATCATAAGGTATTTCAACGAATGTTCGATGACAGTGTTGATTGTTGGAATATCTCACTATCAGATTTATTCAGTATATTGTGTTCATTTTATGCTGCTAATATGTTCGCATTGTATCTCTTCTCATTTTTGTTTTTCTTTAACGAGCAGTTTTCCAGAGAATTTTCCCAATTTTCCCATACAAATCATCGGAAAACAATTGCTTTCTGTCTGTAAACATAGAATCGAACAAAAATTTGTTTTGATTGAGATGCGTTGAGGTGCATTGCACCGCTCAAATGATAGCATTTTATTATGAAGATGTGCGTCATCGTGACACTTCAGGTTTCATTCGATCCGAGCATATCGAGTGGGTGTAATCGTTCGAAAAAACCTGCACCTCCTCAACCACCGTCACGCAGTCCTCCTGCGCCACCCACTGAAAATATTTACGAAACGGTCTTACCGTCATCCTCATCGCAGGATCTCACTCAGATCGAACATCACAAACGGTTTGTTANTCACATCGATTGTGACTGTATTGATCAGATCACTTATTTATTTCATTCTGCTATCATTTTTCCGTAATATTTGTTAAATCTAGAAATGTCAAGTGCTTGACTTTCGCAATATTTGAATCAACGATTTGTGCATTGTCTGAATATCGGATTACACTGATGGAACTCAGCCGATTTTCCCCACTCACAATTGCACTAAATATTCACGGTTTCGCAAACGAAATGTAGATGTTTAGCTAGAGAATTGAACTGAGCATTCAATCGCAAGTGCTCCTGTCTGGTTTGAAGAGCACTGATTCAGTTCTTACAGGTATGACGACGTACATCCATCATATAGTATCAATGAGTCACAATGCGTTGGACCTGCAAATAAACATCGCCACGATGCCGACAAGAGCTGTAAGGTGATCGAATGCAGTAGTAGGAGACAAAACTATTATTCGAGAATGCCATCAGTGGGAACGCAAAGGTGGAAACATCAACGTTGCAGGTGAACATGTTTCAGTGCTCCTGAAAAACTCTCGGAAGCTCACCACTTGAAACCATTTGATCGATTAAGATCATAATTATATTATATAACCTGAATCATGTTCACTTCGATCTATTAAAGATGAAGCAAACGGTGAACTGAAAATATCGTAGAGTTTCCAAATTTTTAATTCAAAAAGATCATGGAATCAATGAACGTTTCGGAATTTTNTTCGCTCATGTTTCTTGCAATCCACCGAGTTGTAAAGTTCAATTTCAGTTCGTGTAGTTCATCGGAAAGCGATTCAGAAGATGTTTACCTTTCGAACTTCTTGGCCGTATCACTTCGTCAGTCAGATCGAGTGGTTAGTTTCAGTTCTCCCCGTTTTCGCATCACACTCTTTCTCAAATTCGAGTTTGATCAAATCAGGCACTGACTTCAGTATGTCAGCCACGGAATCTAACAGTACTCTAACAACAATTATTCAGAAGAAGTGTATGAATATTGTCAATTGCTGATAAACGTACTCTTTGACGTCAATATAGTATCAAACTAAAAAGTGCCCCAAAAATTCCGTGCAGCGATGCATGGCTCAGCTCACGAAAAAAGTGCAATTCATGTCGTTAAAAGAGTCATTAAAATTATGAATGCACGTAGAAATTATTTATTTTATTGACGAATGTTGTCAGTGAACGACGTGAAGAATAAGATGAAATAGTGTGCATTGTTCACTGAGATGATCGATAAAGTGACTGATTAGTGAACTGAATTGAGTAATTTTAGTTGACAAATGATAACGCTTGCCTTGAATTCAAGAAAAAATGAATGCTTCACCACAGAATTTGAGAATTACTCATCAAAAAAAAAGAGCTTCTTTGGCCTATCAAATTGAGTTGCAAAACTGAAACGATTGAAATTTCAGAACGTGAAGCAACACAATTTATGCCTTCGACCAATCGTGAACACGGCACGGACAGCTAAAACAAAATCGTCGAATAATTGTATAGTATCGTAGAAGTTATTCGCCAGCTTCTTCGATTTCATGTTCTGATATATGTGATATGAATAGTGAAAATTAATACCACAAGTATTGTTGTACTCTTAACTGGCATTCTCATATAAACTATAATATACGTTCTCTGATGCAGCGTTCAACTTGGAGTTCCTCATTAAGTGTGCAACATCATCATAGTGGAATTACGTGGGCACTGCGCACTGATACACTTGTGAATTTTATTACACTGATTTTTGTATTCAGCAACGAATCGATGCAAAAAAAATCCCATTCAAGCACTACAATGATTTGTAAATGAAAGTATTCAATTCGTATAACCAGTGCCTTGAACCAGGATTAGGAACGAGGGTATTCTTGAGGAGGAAATCCCACCTTGTGAGCGAGCACTGGAGTGGCGAAGGATGCCGCAAAAGTGAGTCCCAATCGCAGCATTCTTGAGAAACGACTGGGGTTTGCGTCCCCGTTCCCGAGCTTACTTTAAACCAACAGAAGTACATGTTCAACAACCCGTATCGCTTTTTAAAGATGTGAAATTGCGATGGTTAGCGTAAAGTGCGGCCACGACTTAAATTTTTGCTTACAATTAGACTTATGCTGGAACATATACCGCAGACGAGATGCCTAATAAACAAATCGATGGGCCATGTCAATATGAAGTATGTGCTGAACACTTATGGCTGCCTGGTATGAGCCTAAGCCGGAATGTAATCCACCGCGATATTGCAATCAGATTATCACCACTTCAAAGAGATGTGTATTCGAGAATTAAGATGAAGTGTGTATTCGAGATGTATGTAAAGTTGTGTGTGATCATTGCGATTTTTTTCGCTCTCGAAGAGCAGAGATAAATGCCTGTTTCTGTATTTACTGAGCCACCATTGAATGTCAGTCAAACCCTGAGCGGAACAACGCCATCGCACTTTCGATTTACAATTCCTGCTACATTCCAGAGGATGTAATCTTAAAGCAAAGCGCACATCATGTGGGTTGTAAACGTGATTTTCAATTGTGTGTTGCCGTCAGCGACAGACAAACGAAG